CGTTGAAGCGCTACTGGTGAGCTGTCTGAAGTGGCTCAGTGTCTGTGTACAGCCGAACGAGCAGCCTTTCAAACTATACTTCACTGCACCGTTTAGGCAGCATAACCCCAGGTATGTGTCGCCGCATTCTCGGGTTATGAAGAATAAAGAAGGGAAAAGTTAATCTTCCGAAATGAAGCAGCAATATCTTCTCAGGTAAAAGTTATTAGAACCGTGTCTATAGGGACAAGCTGGCCATCACACGGCTCTGACCTTATCAGTCCGTTTGTATCCTATTATTCGATTTGCTTATGACAGAACAGCTAATCACGAGGATCTTGTCTGCGGAAATTATTATTTTATTCGCTTATGTCAGAAACAGCGAATCTCTTTAAAAACTGGCTGTTGTTTTCATTTCATTACATTGCTATAATTCGTAAAAGTTGTACCCGCCAACTGGCGACTGACACTGTTACATGGACTGTTAATTTTAGGCCCTGCGCGCAAATATTAAGCTCTCTCTGAAGTATTGCGTTTAAATGGACAAATTCACACAAAACTTATGTCAAAATGCCCGTCTTGGTAGTATCTTATAGCAGACATAGCCGGCTGAACGTACTGTATCAGTGCATTCTCTTAAAGTGACAGCACTTTCTTAATATTAATCAAACAGCAGCAACAAAGAATTCACTCACTGCTCTTGACTGAATAGCTTTTGTAATGTGAGTAAGTTGAACCGTTCCACCCCTAGAAGTCACTTTTCAAACCAAACCAATCTTTTGCTCAACGCTGCAAATTTATGTGACCAATTTGAACCTGCTGTGAAATCTGCTTGGGGAAATCTTTTGCCCTCATGCAAAACTCCACGTTGTGCAGATTCCTTTTGAAATGAATTGATCTCACCTGACAAAATTCAGTGAACAATGGCAACCACAACTTTAGGTCAACGTGATATGAACAATACTCTATTTACTGTGAGTCTGATGCCACGTGTCATTGTTTTCATGTCCAAACTCTCTATCAGATCACAAAAACAAACAAAAAATGGTGCTAATATTTACAGCATGCTGTAATACTACTGAAAAATCATGATCCTAACTTTTATTTCCATACCGAAATTTCAGTTGGCCAGACAGTGATTCATCTTTTCTGAATCAATACATTTTTGGTGTCAGGAACACTGAGTTCAGAGACTGTAGTGTACACCGTGAGTTTTTAAAAGCTCAGCTTAAATGTGTGCTAGAAATAAATTAAGTAGTTGAGATAGTATTCTCAATCTTAATGGAGTTGGAGGCTTGGAACCAGAAACATTATTTGATATGTCACAGCAATTGTATTAATATCAAATATCTTGAAATAAGTGTTACAATTGGGTTATGTTGCGGTGCTCTAAAGGGTGAAGTTGACCTTTACATTTAATTAGAAATTCTACTTTATTTATTATTATCTAGATATTGAATTTATTATTGCTAACATGTCAAGATATGAATCTGGAGTCAAAATCTAGCTGACATCTAAGTATTCTCCTGTGAAGTATGAAATGCTAAAAACTGGAATCAGTATATATTAAAATATAATTCCGCAGTTCTCACAAAGTTAATGGTCATATTTCAGCATGACTGACAAAAGAGAACTGTTTATTAAAATAAATAAATAATAAGGACTCTTATTTTGTCAATCATTAGGAGCGATTGGCATTATTTGTGGAGCATTTTCTATTTTGTAACAGTTTCTTTTAAAATACAGATGTTTCTCTTCCTGTTTGGTTGTGTCTGTGTTAGAACAGTGTTTGTGGGGGTGTTTCTTTCTTGAAGCCAGAACATGTGCTTTTTTTCATCCAAGATTACAATGTGAAGCAATAAAACTGTCCAGACCTGAAACCCACCACCATTTAATAAAAATAAAAAAAATCAAACATTACTACAGCCTGACAGGATATTAAAATCTTTATAGTTCCTTTGTCAAAAAAAACAAAAAAAACAATCACAGGGTTCTCTGATGGCCACCATCTAAACCAGAAACACTGGCAAAGCTCGTCACTGGCTGCAGTCCTTCCCGTGGCAGCACAACCAAAGTGTGACAGCTGGCCAGAGTGAGAGAGACGTGCCTGTGTTGACACAGAGACGGGGCATTTTATGGGAAGCTGATGGGAGCTTGATTGACTGACTCTAGGACCCATGAGGCCATGCAGGGGATATGGTGACTGGCAGGTCAATCAGGACCTCAGCCCAGCCAGCCGGCCAATCAATTATCAGAGCCGATGGGGAGATAGGATCAGCAGCGCCACGCTTGACATGGCCTGACCCCATCGCCTCCTTAATGCTGGGACTGTTTAAAGAGTAATGCAGTCTGGGCCTGAAGGACGCACCTCAGCATCATAACTATAACTGACCTCTCTGTGGCTTTTCATTTAAATAAGCAGATACTCTCAAGACTGATTTACTATAGTACCACCCATAAAAGGAAGTGAACAGGTGAAGTCAAATACAAACCAGTTGATTCACAGTAAACCTCATCAGATTTATCAGAAGGTAGTTGAAACATTTTCCGTGTGTGCTAGTTACTAATTTTGAGAGTAAAAGTTCTCAAAAAGAGAATGGCGAAAAAAAAGAAAAAAAATTCAATGGCGAAAAAACCTTGTTTGTTGAGACTACCAATGTGAAATAAGAACCACACCTATTATTTGAATGTAGTGTCATTTTAGTATTACTTATGTACTGTTGTGGTATTTACAGTATTAATATTTTGTGTTTTCGTTATTTTTATTAAGGTTTTCTATATTTATTTTTATTTTTATTAATTTTAGCACTTCAACTTATTTCAGTTAGTTTCAAAGGCAAAATTTCTAATACTTTTAATTTTCCTCTGATATTTATGTTTTAATGTCAACTTTATTACAATAACTGGAAATGTTTTTTAATAGTTTTAGTTAACAATAACAACACTGTTTGAAAGCTTGAAAGTCACCAGACAAGCTGAAAAAAAAACAGCTTTATGGAAAGTCCCTTATACATTTAGTTCACATGAATGTGTAGGACTGATGTTAGACAGCATATCTTGGTGCTTTGGAAAAAGAAGACCAATTGTCTTCATATAAATCTGACCAGCACTACAGTGAACTCCTACAGAATGGTGGTGGGGTGATGGTTCAGACAAAGACTACACTCCTCTTCAAAGTCTTACTCATGATCTCTTTAACTTTGACTTTTGACCCTTCATAGTTCATAGTGGGGATCATCCAAGCAGCAGAGCTGCCTGCCATGGATATGGGTGGCACTTCTGACCCCTATGTAAAGGTCTACCTTCTTCCAGACAAGAAGAAGAAATTTGAGACCAAGGTCCACCGGAAGACGTTGAATCCTGTTTTCAATGAGCAATTCACCTTTAAGGTAGGTCACAAACCTAATAGCGTTATATTATAACAAGCGATTTCTCATTGGATCCATGCGTTTGCATTCTACTCATACAGTTTATCAAGTTATTTCTGACTACTTCCTCTGGCGTATTAACAAGACAATAAGTGGCATGAGGCGTTGGAGTAATTACATGTAAACATGCAGATGGACTCCTGCAGGTGTCTGTCAACCGGAAAGTAGTATAATTTCTATTTTGAATGTTCAGTAGAGCTTTCCGATTCATTTTTATGAGACGTCATGCAGCTAGAAAGACCTTTTTGTGTAATTACCGCAGTCAGACCTCTAGACTTCTATTAAATTGTTAAGTGAAGTGTTGAATTCTTAAAAGAATTGCAAAAATATAACTGATTCAACCAAGGGGGGTAAAGGACTGTTTGCGTGTTTGGTTCTTGTTTAGCCTAGCGCAATTTCAGCTATGACAAGGTACCTTGAGAACAAGAAATGTTCCACATGCCAACATCGAGAGAGATAGCCACAGAGCTCTGACATGTAATCACAAGTGCCTTCATTATTGAAATGAAGAAACTTGAGAGCTGGTGTGTGTGATAGCGTCAAGGACAAAATAGCAACCCTTGGGTCTTATCTCTTTCCCGGCCAATCAAGCAGTTTGTCGCCATGTTGGAACAAGTCCTTCGGGATAATGAGTTTTGTCTGAAAAACAGCTCAATTGGAGGTAACCAACAATCAAATCTCTCTCTCTTTCTCGTGCGCACACGCAGTTGTCTTATAGTTTCATCCCAGCATCTCAGCGTTAGATAAGTCCTATAACTGGAATTTAGAGAGATTAGACTGGTAGGTATGCATGCAATTAATTTCACCCCTCTTATCCTGCAGGTTCCCTACACTGAGCTTGGAGGGAAAACTCTGGTGATGACGGTATATGACTTTGACCGCTTCTCCAAACATGACGCCATTGGAGACGTGAAGGTGCCTATGAATAAGGTCGACTTTAGTCATGTGACTGAAGAGTGGAGGGACCTCCAGAGCGCTGAGAAAGAAGAGGTAAAAAGCTAACATGGGTGGCAATAACCTGTTTTCTGGTAATGTGATTAAATCTTAGCATTTGAGTGCATATTCCATCTTTATTGCCTGACCTTCTGGAGCACAAGTGGAAAGTTTGCCAGTTGAGTTGTTCACTAGTAGTGATTCTTCCCAGTGACTTGAATCTTTTCAATCCATTCACACACAAAAAAAAATCATTCACATTCAGATTTGTTTGCTGATCTGGATAAGTTAACACTTTATACCAGTTGGTAGCAACTCCTAATTGAATGAGTCAAAATCTTTTTGTTTTTTGTTTTTTGTTTTTCTAGACGTGATCTCAACGTGGCATCCCCCATTTGCAGACCCTGTTTGTGTAAAATGAAAGAATTTGTATTAGGCTACTCAAATGATACGTCTTCACAGATTTTGAACATAGTAAAATATATTTTTTTTTATTTAAAAATAAATGTTTTTTTTTTTTTAAATGAGAAAAAATGTGCACCTTTACAAGATTTGGTAAAAACACTTAAATGCTGTACACAATCAAAACTAGATTCTATACTCCACTGAGAGATGCAGACAAATGGCTATTGGCATGTTCTTCAGGTTCGTCAGCTGCATGGAAATTTACTCACTGTACAAGTGCTAGACTTCAGGGCTATCCATCTTCAATGGAAATGTCAGTTAATCAGCTGGGTCGTGCCACATTTTTATTAATAAAAAAGTGTGACTTTCCAAGAAGTGGTTGCGGAGATTCAATTTTCATTGTAAATGTCATGGAATATAGCATTTAAGCCGTGGTTTTTGTGGGAACCTTGTTTTTGTGCCACGGTTCCTTGGTGTAAAGGTTAATTATGACGCTGTCAAAAGCCTGCTGAGGGCAGAGAGATGAAGGCTATCTACATACGTTGAAGGTTGCTCTTTGAGTTTGTGCAGCTGTTACACTCCATGTCCGATGAGCTAGCGGAGTACTTCAAACACCGCTTGAGGAAGCTGGAGAGTATTGACTTTATTCAAAGAATCTCTTTGTGAGTGGTGTCCTGAGGGTGGCACTTTTAAGTGCCTGTAAAAAACTAAATGAAAATCGACTGCAAAATGCCGTAGCGTCTCGCAATTCCATCCAGTTCAGTCCTCTTTGCTCTTTTTTTTTTCCACTGCACAATTGCAAAAAAAAGAAGAAAAAATTCTTGGCAGTTGATTCAACTTATTTACCGTGTAGGACTCATTTAATTAAGCTACAGTATGAAATGTTATTTTTCCATTCTGATGACCTTTTAATTGACAGAAAATTGATTGTGTGGAAATGGCATCAGCCAGTTGAAAGTAAAGTGATGTAACCTTTTCCCCCTTCCTGCTGTTTTCTATATGTCACATGTGTTTGTGTCCATGTTTATTAGAATGGCTCCTGAAATATAAATGGAATGTGTGTACGTGTAAATGTATTTTCAGTGTGTTTACCGTTGGAGCTACATTTGTGGAAAATTAGTCAGATTTAAAAAAAATACAAATGCCATGCTCCTCAATTCATTTTCTCTTGAATAAATTTGACCAGGTTTTTAGGTTAATTTTTTCTGCTTACCTTGTTAATGATGTCCCTGATTGAAATTTCCTCTGCCACTCACAGCAAGAGAAGCTGGGTGACATCTGTTTGTCTCTGCGGTATGTGCCCACTGCTGGCAAACTGACCGTGGTCATTCTGGAGGCCAAGAACCTGAAGAAGATGGATGTTGGTGGCCTGTCAGGTGAGTCCAGTTACTGAGTCACACTGTCAGCTGGACACTGGCACAAAGGTTGTGCCATTATGTGACAGTTCAAGACAGTGTCTCTTGTTGCCAGCTGTCAGCATGACAATTCAATTGTGTATTAATATTTTTTTAAAGTTTGCATGTTTTTTTTTTTGTTATGTTTGATACATCAGTCTTTTATGACTCATATATAATGATATAGGAGAAAACTATATATATATATATATATATATATTGCTGATTATATAGTGCACATTATCATAAAGACATCAAATGTTTTTCATAATCGTTCTTTAAAACATCATAATTGTTCTACTTATGTAACCAAGACGATGCAGGCAGGGAAAAATCTTAAAATATTGCAATAATATCGTAGCCTAACATGTTTGCATCCAGTCAAATTCCCACCTCACATCATTTTTCAGCTGAATACACTAAGAAAGATGCATTATGTGTTGTGAATGCTCTTTTCATGTGGTCTTTAACACTATTTCAAAACCCTTTCATTTTCTCATTGCTCCACAAGGTTGTCTGTATGTAAATCCAAAGCATTTTTAGTATATCTTTCACGTTTAAAATCATGTAATGCGTATACAGTCATTCACAGCTACAAATCCCAAGGGCGTAGAAATGTGGCTTGAAATGATCCGACACTTTCCGAACCTACGGCTGTGCGGAGAACTGCGCTTTATCAGCTGATGTAATATTCGGCTCTGGGGAATACATGAATACATTTTCACTGAGTAATTTTACAGCTCGGCATTCAGAAATCAGTCCTCATCTGTGCCTTAAACACTTATGAAAAACAGCCCCGGTCTTATCCATCCATACTTGCCCACCTCCCTCACCGGTTCACCTGGTCCGTCTCGCCCTGCTGTCAGAGAGGCGGATAGGCCATCAGTACCAGACCCACCTGCTGGGAGCCAAGAGGCCTGACGTTTACTTCTCATCACTCAGAGAGAGAAGAACAGCTATTAGCAGCACAGCCTAGAACAAACTTTCTCGCTCTCTCACCGGTCCATTAGCAATCTAGATTAAAGCTGGCTATAAACTGTCAGTCACGTTTCATCAGGTACTCCAACACGCTGCTGAAATTAACACCGTTAACAGTTCTATTTAGGGGTTCGCGTTTAGAGGACTATCGTTTTCACGATGTGATAACTACACCCCCAAACCTCCTATCGCGTTTCATCGTTGGGCTTGTTGAATTATTTGGTCGTTTGCCAGATCAATCAGATCCTGTGTGAAAATTGTGCAGTTAAGGGTGCTTTCACCATCAATTACTTGCCAGTTTTTGCCAGACTCTGACAGTTTGTATTGTGGAATAAACCTTTTTGACAAAGCGCTCAGTGATTTTACTAGAAAAACATTTCTGTCCCTGCATTCTCTCTCACTGTTTTTCTTCTCACTGTATGACTGTGGAAAGACTATTCATTGTATTTCATATATTTAAACACAACAATGGTAAAGTCAGCGTTATTTTAATATAATTTATATGCTAGTTTTTATTGATATTTTAAATTTTACTGTTAATTATATTGTTATATTTAGATTTTTCATTTTGATTTTAGTCTTAGTAATGTCATGTACTTTTGTCATTTTTCTCTTTTCTTCTTCAACTAAAATTTTTAACATTTTAGTTAGTTTGGTTGCCAAGAAATTATTTCAAATTTTCTTTGAAGTTTTTTAAGTTTCAGTTTTTCATCTAATTTTTATATTTTACTTTATTTCATTTACTGAAAACAATTTTTATTAGTTTTATTTAGTTAACAATGTTAAATGTAAATGTTAAAGTGTGGCTTAAGCGTCCAGGTACTTTTTCAGGCCAATGCATGTGGTTTAGACATGCTATGAAAGACTATTCTTTGTATTTGTTTATGTATTTGAACATAATAGGGGTTGAAATCGGCACCATAACCATTTTTTAAATCAGCTTTTATATAGCTGAGGGTGAATGCAGTACATGCAGTCCACCACTAGGAGACACCTACGAGTCTGTAGACCATACGTGACTGAATGCCTATGTTCCAGAGCCAATGAAAACATACCACATCAGAGACAAGGGCCATTTTTATTTTCACTTGGATTTTCAGTCAAGATGAGCTTCTCAAGTGACTATATGAGCCATAAACACAAGTCATTACAAGTACTGCCAACTCCTTGAACCACAAACTTCTGGCTTGGCTTCTGTTTGAGTGTAGATTACCACAGATTTCCTAACAACCTCAAACCTCAGACACTGTGTTGCCAAGCAACCAGGAAAAAGCACCACCTTTAATAGTGTTAGACCCAGGGAAGTTCTGTTTAAGTTCAACATCATAAATAGCCATATTGCATGTTTTCACCTTATTAAAAGTGGATGGAGCAAGCGGCCAGAGCTCTGAAGATCTTGTAGTGTTAGTGTAAGTTCAACAGGAGGTGCTGTAATGCTCTATTATGAGAAATCTTTGCATCTCATATAGTCTGACTAAAATGTTTTAGCATGCATTCCACATGTGATCCCACTGTCAGACTGTGAAGCTTCATGGATGCATACTTTTTGGATAGTATCTGAAAGAACCTTTTTTTGTGTAATACCTTAGAAATGCATTTAAGATCTTGAAGCGTTTAGAGGCATAAATGCCATACAGATGCTCTTTAAGTTGCAGGGCATAGTGCTGTACACCATTTACAACGGACACAAAATGCTTCATATCAATTAATTAATAACACAGGCTGCAATCACATACCAGTTTTTGTATTAAAGGAGACATATTATGCCCCTTTTTACAATATGTAATATAAGTCTCTGGTGTCCCCAGAATGTGTCTGTGAAGTTTCAGCTCAAAATACTCCACAGATCATTTATTATATTATTTTGAAAATGCCTATTTTGAGTGGAAGCAGAAACGCGCTGTTTTTCATTCCTGTCTCTTTAAATGCAAATGAGCTGCTGCTCCCCGCCCCCTTTTCCAGAATAGAGCTACGCCATTAGAGCGCGTACCTGCTAAAAAACATCTGTTTTGGTTCTGATTATCATGTTTATCGAACCTGGAAAAGTCATTCCAGTTTTTATGATATGTCACCTTTAAATGATTATTATATAGTATATAAGTGTTTCAAGAGAAAGTCTATATGCAATGATTGTTTGTCACTTGGTATGGCAGCAAACATAGTTAGCAGCAAAACACTAATGTTGTGACATTATTACACTTTAAAATGGCTATTTCCATTTGAATATATTTTAAAATCTAATTTATTCATGTGATGGCAAAGCTGAATTTTCAGCATCATTACTCCAGTGTCACGTGATCCTTCAGAAATCATTCTAATATGCTGATTTGCTGCTCAAGAAACATTTCTTATTATTATATTTCTATCAAAACTGAACATGAGCAGTTGCATGCAGCTTTTTCCTGGAGAGATCAGAATCTGTAGATAGTGAATTGAATAAAAGACTCCCACCATGACTTAAATGTAGGGTGACCATACGTGCCATTTTCCCAGGACGCGTCCTGGCCAGGATTTGTTTATGCTGTAAATGAACATGTTTTTTCATTAACATTTAAAATGATCTATTACATTCCTTATATAAATGCACACTGACCATGCCTTACACACCCTCAGCTTATGAGTTGTGAGATCTACACTTTCAAAAACTGCATGCCACAGATTTTGTGCTGCCCTGCTCCTAATATGGTATGGGTACAGAGAGTTTAGGACGCCTTCTATGTTACACTCTCTCTCTCTCTCTCTCTCTCTCTGTGTTTGAAATGTGCTGCTCTGGATTTTTTTAGAGAGATAAAATGTATTTAGATCAGTTGAAAAATTAAGAGGGAATTGAAAATGCCAGAGATTTTTTGAAATCTCTCTTGGAGCAGAGCAGAGATGGTGACAGAAAGAAATATATAAGAGTGTCAGGGAGAGAAAGAGTGAACTTAAACCAAGGTAATTCTGAAACATGGTTAAGTCTGTCAAATTCAACCATTTCTCACCTCAATAACTGCTGCTATATCCATTTTTTAATTGTAAGGCTCAAAAAGGCATGTGACATCACCCCTCTTTAAGTCTCAGTAAAAAATACATTCACTCCCTTTTTCAAAAAGGAAGATGTTTAGACATAGAATCAGATATTGTTTTGATATTTCATTATTTGTATTGTGAGGTTTCCATCAAAACGTGATTTGAAGAAAGGTGAGTCTGAATCAGTAGTGGGTGAGGTAAACAGATGATGAGAGATGCATAATGGGAACAGAATATAGATGCTGGAAATGATAGATAAGATGGATAGTATTTTGAGGCCCTGGCAGAGATTGATGTGCCTGAATGGCAGTAATGTAACAGGGAAGATTTTCTCTGGGATTCTGGAGGGCACACACCTGTCATGTGTCAATAAAAGCTTGTACTATCCTAACACGAACCACAATAGATCTGTTCTGTAGTGGAGCTTCAGTCGGGGGTTGCAGGCGTCGCATGCAGTGTTATTTTGTGATATGTGGAGAAATGTACAAATAAAATATGAATAAAATAAAAAAAGATTAAAAGATGAATTAATTAATTGATATAAAGAATTTGGTACCATACTTGATTTGATTTGATTGAGGTTTTAGGCTTGCACCTAATGAGTTGGAGTCTTGATCTTATGGTCTTGTCATTGAGACTTCAATCACAAAGACATGGTGAGACTCTAGTACAGTGGTACTCAAACTTTTTCTGCTGTAAATACAAAGCTGCTCATTTCAACCTTTTGTATTTACAGAAACTAGGAGTGGGAGTATATTAAAATAATTATGTAATTATAATAATTAAAATAATACAATGCTGTAATTCTGGACATTTCAAAAACTGATATGTCCAGGTTTTACAAGACTTTGAATAGACCTCATTCTTGATTTTAATATAAAATCTTGATTTTAGCAACTGCTCTAGCATGTCATAAAGAGTGATTTCTCATGTCATGTCCTATTCTTGTGTGTTATCAGATCCTTACGTCAAGATTCACCTGATGCAGAACGGCAAGCGGCTGAAGAAGAAGAAGACGACAATCAAAAAGAACACCCTTAACCCTTACTACAATGAATCTTTCAGTTTCGAAGTGCCATTCGAACAAATCCAGGTAATGAAATTTGGTTTTGTTACTTGTACTGAAACCGAGCTCTAATACGGCAACAGCAAATCCGATGCTAATTCCCATTTTCATTATTGTCGTCAAAAACTAATTGAACGAACACTGTGTTGTAAATTTATAGAGACTAATTGGCAAGCCACAGATGAAAAGTAACTTGTGAAATGCGATAAGGCTCGGTGTGAAGCTTTTAGAAACGTTTTGTTGCTAATTAGTTGGAGAATAAAAGGAATGCAATGCTTGCTAGTGCAATAAGAGTCAAATTGCTTCAAATTGATTTAGCATTTTACGGTTCAGAGGATACATTTTATGCTTTGAGTGAGTTGCTTTGAATTCAAAGAGTGTCTGGGGGTCTGTTTACCAGAGAGGCCTTCATCTCTTCCCATTCACACCAAGCAGCAGACGTTTCTAAAAGCGGCTATCCCAAACTAACAGTTCCTCGCTCATTGTACATCCCTCAGTATTTCATTATATGGCAAATTAGCTCTGCCTCCCGAGAACAATGGCCTCAGGCCTGTTCTCACCGGTCAGTGAATTCTGCTTGCATTACTTGCACGGGCGGATCGGGCTCTAAGTAAGCAAGCTAAGAGCGAGCCATTGACCCCGAACTCACACCGATCAGTTGCGTGCTCGCAGTCAATTTACAGAGTTGTTCGGACCTCTTTGGTGGCACCCGCTGGCCTTTCTTTGGTATCTGCCACCATGCTCTTCAAAGAGACCATCTTCTTCAATTGACCTTCACACTGAGATAATTGTAGTGGTATTTGGGAAAATGGTCAATGGCGTGAACTACTGCGCCACTATGTATATTTTCAGTCATTGTTAAACAATGTTGCTCAGCAACCCATTGTAAGATATTCGTAATGTCAAAGGCCTCTTCAATAAGTCATAAAATGTTGTTTTTAAATGCATCATAATTTATAAAAACCTTTTTATATACATACACTGTACTATATATATTTATACATATGTAGCCGTTCAAAAGTTTGGGGTCAGTGAGAGTTTTTTGAAAGAAATTAATATTTTTAGTTAGCAAGGATGTATTAAATTGATCAGAAGTGAAAGTAAAAACTTCATAATGTTTCAAAAGATTTATTATTTATCACAGTTTCCACAAAAATATTAAGCAGGTTTTTTTTACATGGCAGGAATAAAAAAAAAAATCATAATATAATATATTAAACTATATTAAAAATGTATAGTCAGTTATATTAAAACAGTGATTTTAAATTGTAATAATATTATTTTCACTGTATTTTTGATCAAATAAATAAGACTTCTTTCAAAAACAGTAAAAAAAATCTTACCGACCCCAAACTTTTGAACGATCATTATCATTATCATTATTACTGTTACCAAGCACATGTTCGAATAAACTGAAAGTCACAAACATTACGTTGTGTTTATAATGGTGTGTCTCTAATTTCTGTTACAGAAAGTTCAAGTTGTTATAACTGTTCTGGACTATGACAAGATTGGCAAGAACGATGCCATCGGCAAAGTGTTTGTGGGCTTGAACAGCACAGGCACCGAGATCCGTCACTGGTCAGATATGCTGGCCAACCCGAGGAGACCCATCGCTCAGTGGCACGTGCTCAAGCCGGAGGAGGAAATAGATGCCCTGCTGGCAGCTCAGAAAAAATAGAGCAGCCCCAAGACCAACCACCCCCCCCCTTCCCAAAAACCTGCCCGTGTAGTGCTCTTTACCCAGTGCGTGTAAATACCTCAGTGATATAAGGATTCATGCACCATCACTCCTAATTTCGTGTCTCGGACCACCCCCTTGAGATGTTGTGTTGTTACGTCGGTTTCGACCCCTCGCCCCCTTCCTTCCTTCCGTCGATAAACTCTCTCTGTCCTTTGTTGTTTCATCTCCATCCACGACCTTAAAAGTCCCCGACCAAATGCCCCCTTCTTTTAAGCAATATGATCTGTATAGATAGAGCATGACTGGAGGAATTTATTGTACTGTACCACAGGTGTATATATCAGTATGCAGACGAAAATGATTTCTAGTTTATGTGTTTGTATGTTGTTACCCGTTTCCTAAACTGTGTATATCTTGATGTTTTTAATAAGATGTTCTATTTTAAATTATGTAAATGCATAGAAGAGCCAATATTATATATAACGGGATTTAAGAGTTTTACCTTATTGCATTCCACTAAAGTATACGATATATCTCCTATATAAATATTTACGAGTTAAAGAATTCCAACCTGCAAAACGCTAGTGGAGGTACACTCACTTCTTAAAGGACGGTTTGCGCTTCATGTTTACGTAAAAAAAAAAGCTTACAGATGTACCGTACACGATAAACACACACACTGAACACGAAGGCCATTAACTAATATGGTTTCATGGTATAAATATAATATGCTGCTGACAATTATACAAGCACATGATTTCGTAAGAACTTTTTGTACTAATTTATCAAACTGAGGACCTGTATGCTTCGCTTAAACCACTTTTAATCTAAGGAATTCTTCTTACTTGATGAAGACCAATCAGCCTTTTCTTTTGATTTCTCATACGGTGATGCTGTTCAATTTGATTAAAACGGGTCCCCGGTTTGCTTCTTTCTTGTTTTCTGTCCTTCGATTCCCGAATCTTCTCGAATCCAATTTGGCGTCGTCGCGAAACCGTAAATTGACCATTTATGGGACAGTCTGAAGCTGTAGCCATCGTGTCCTTGAAGCTTGAATTTGTGAATCGCTTCCTTTTCTTGTCGTCGGACTCGTTTCGTTGAGGAATTTACGGTTCAGCCTCCAAAAAAAGGAAACCAGGAGTTTTGACTCTAGCTTTAAGACAACTATTTTTTAGATTAAGTCAACGTCTGAATATTTTTGGTAACTGCATGATTTTTTTTTTACGATCTTTGCTAAAGGCCGGGTAACGGGGGGATTTATTTACACCGGGGCGTCTTTCAAGAGACTCCCTTGCCTTCAATCAGAAGTAATCAAACGTTGTGGGACGGAAGCTTTTGAAGTGGTCGGTCCCAACGAGTCGATAATGATGAGGGAAGGAGGAGAGGCGAGCTTTTAAACACTGCCATTGTTTTCAGGGAGGTACGACTCCTCCCTCCACTCACACGCCACTCGGATAGTGGTTGTAGCTTTGGGGAACAATGTATTTTGGCCGCAACGGTGCCCTAAACAGCAGTTTTTGCTTTCTGTTGTCTTTTCACAGTGACAATAGAGTTAGCCATGCTTAACTGCCAATCCCTTCCCCCGTGGCTACTGTTTTGCACTGTACAGTCTAGGAACGGACAATTGCTTGTCGAGAAAAGTCCGTTCAGTCTATAGCGCAAGAAAGTGAACCGGCCACCGACCGGTTTGAACACCACGAGCATTAGCGAATCTTTAACAATAACCATAAAAGTTAATGGTCTGTACAGGTGATAATATTCTAATGTCCTTTACTACGGGTCTAACAAGAGGGCGAGTAGACGTTTAGTCCATTAAATCCATGAGTTATCTTGGAGGAACCCTCTCGCGTACACTAGATGCTAGCTTTAGGAGGAGTTTCTAAGTGTTTTCAATGTTACTGTGTAGGTAATAGCACTGTTACTTAAAAATAAAAGGAGAAAAAAAGCTATTCGTCATTCCATAGGAGTCTTTAGGGACTGATTTGTTTTATCACTGTGACTGTGGTGTGTGCTTAGCGTTGTAGTTTTCAGTAGGTAGCCGCCATCTTGTACTATAGTGACGTTGTGCTGCCATCCCCCTATCACACCGCGAGAGTACGAAAGAGAGCGACGGTTTCCGATAACTGTTACAGAGCGCGCGCTCGCGGGTCAATTCACACAGCATTTTGTTGAGCACTGTGCAATACTTGTATGTTCATTCTCTAGTGTTTAAACGGGCGGCATCTCTCAGTAGGGGACAAAAAAAAGCACCCTATACAGCGAGACGATGTATCCATTGAACGTAGTCTGGTTAGGTCACAGCACACGTGTAGTTTGGAGCTCAACATCTGTAAACTTGTTAAGGATTCCTCCGTTTTTCCCGTTGAGTTTTCCTGCACACAGATTTAACCATCCAAACATTCGGGTAAACGAATATATATATATATATATATATATATATATATATAGGATGTACCCCAAAGATAAGGCAATATATATATCTATCTATATATATATGAAAACCCTTCCCTTTCAGAATAGGTGTATATATATTTTTATATTTGTCCTGATATCATTTCCTCGTTATTGAGATCACCTGGATATAAGAGAATTGTATCAATCTTGTTATGGAAACTATCTGTTGTACTATTAATATGATTGGCTGTACCATTTTGTTATCGCTGTTATGATTACACTCATGACTATTACCTGGTTATCGTTCCTTTAGTGCCCCATTGAAGACCATTTTATATTTATTATTGAACTCAGAATGTACAGTATGGACTGTGTTTTGTTTCTACTTTTTATCGTGGGACCAAGTATAGTTGGCACTTTCATTTAAATGTTGCAATAAATATTGATTCATGTGTTTTATTCATAGCCGAATATGATTTCTTACCCTGTCGGAGAGAGTGAACCTAGAGAAGAACTCCAAAACGTGTAATCGCAACTATAAGTACAATTATTACCTACGTTACCTGACTTACATATGTACTCTCGTTTATATAAGTATTTATGATATCTTAATACAAGAGGCTTGTTTATAAAACAAGGATAAAAATGCAGTTTTAGAGTCACAAACTGACACACTCGTTTCGTACGGCAAAAGGGGTGTTGTTGTACTATCAGGTCTCTGCACGTTAGGTGTAGAACTGGACGTACAGTTGAAGACAGCATTGCTCGTTGCACCTCAGAGGTTTGTAAAGTAGTCTGAAAAGCCATTTCTAGCTCTGCAAAGCAACGCTATCTTTTACTGAAGCCTACCAAAGCACGCAAACAGCTCTGACAACCGCACCCGACAACTTGAAAAATGAAATAAATAAATAAAAACAACCCGAACGGTCAGCACAATACACGCATACAACCTTCCGATACTCTACGACGACGAAAAGCCACCTTTCAAGAAAAAGCTGTGTAAAGAATTAGAATCTGATGCTGTAGGGAGATCCTAGTTGCCTTTGTGTATATCAACTGCCTGCTTGAGTGTTTTTGTGTGTGGAAATTTTCTCTGTAATCTTGTAGAACTGTTCGGGGTGTTTTTCCTGCCATACTGCTCGCCCCAGCGGCGAGCCGACAGTTATATTGCTGTGTATACCTTCATTTTTGATGAGGTGTTTTACAATTTCGTTTCACTTTGTGTAGTGATTCACTCTGTGGAGTTTCTGACTGTTGTTATATAACTTCATATACACAAATGTTCAATAAAAATGTTTTATTTCCTGTTGATACAGAACCTTCTCAAGAGCCTTTTTTGTCTTAAATGACCTTCATTCTGCTTTTGAATCTTCAAACCGCGTGAAACGAGTAAAAATGTACCATGATAGCCATAGTTTCTATCTGAATACCTTGGTAACATTGTATTGTTCTTAGTACAATAAAGTGCGGCATGGAACGAACAAATAAATGGAATAAAGTAAAATAACAATGATTCTTAGTTCCAAGAAGAGCCATATTTAATAATGAATAAATCATGAAAAAAAAATGAAATTATGGAAATTTTATATTGGCCTTTTCAAGAATATTGAATTTTTAGCCCTAAAATATTGATTTAATCAGCTAGAAATTGCTCTAAGTGGAATTTAATTATTTTTAAAAATCCTTATCCTGCAGTCACCAATTTCATTGAAATTCACTTGTAGAAACTGTTGCCATTGTAATTATTATTTATTTATTTTTTTTGTAAAGAAATGCCCCAGTTGTGTCTACAGCTGAGAAATAATAAATGTTGTTAGACATAACAAATGACAGCAGAGGGTGGAGGTTGTCACATCGATAAATGCCCATGACCTTCTCAGCAAGGTCAGCTTTTGGAGTTCTGGTGGTCAGATTTTCACAGTCATGCTTCATCCCAGGCTGGAAAAGGAGATTTGAATTCACATTATAAATGTTGAAATAGTAAGCCAAGCGTAATAGCATTTTCTCTGGATTTTACATTTTGATAATGGGTCAAAAGTGATTTATATAGGGATTATAACAGTGAACTATGAAAATGTCTGAATCTTGAGGGTCAAGTGTGAAATATCAAAGGTGAAACAACATTTCTGTTGTTTTAGTTCAATATCTTTCTTTTCAGGCTTACTGAGTGTGAAGAAGCCCACATAGGTATCCTCTGAGCGGATTGGTGCTCGAGAGCGCGCGCACGGAAGCGCTGCTAATGAAATATGAGCTCCTTCAAGAAAAAGATAAGAGCAGGGCTGCGTGGGGGTCTCAGGGCTATCAGCTCCACAGGATCAAATGCATTTCTGTATACATGACTTTGACCATCTCGCAGCATTACGTACATATTACTCGGCCGATTTATCTCTGCGTAGATCTTCAAGGTCTGCTTAAGAGCAATGAATACGAGATGAGGCCAGTCTCTGAGCGCCTTCTCACTATCAAACTCAAGCATGAGTGCTAAATTTAGTCATGATCTGAAGGTACAAATCCTCCCAGTGAAAAACCTCATGTTACTTTTCTGTCACTAAGCAGATATTCACACTGAGCAGATATCCCTGATGTGGTTATGAAAGTATCATACATTTTATAAGTTAACTTCATCTGTTCATGCAATTTCTACAATCACAGATAATGTGTCAGGTTTGTTATGCATTCTTTAAACATTAATAATGTGGCGTGACAATGACATCTTTTGTGACCCTGAGTTAAGAAGGATGGTCTATACTACTACTACAAAAAAAAAAAAAAACTCATTATTTTTTATTTAAACTGCAGTTGCTTGGCAGGTTCCTGGCTAGAACTTGTCTTTTTACCTATATGTTCAAAACAGTCCACAAAGTAAAACAATTCTAAATATGGAACCAGGGGGCCTGGGCCTACTAGGGGGCCTCATTAAACTTCAAAGGGGACCTTAAGGTAAATTTAAATTATTTGTAATAAAAATGAGAGGGGTTAAAATAATCTTAAATCCCTAAAAATCCCTCAACAAATAAATGAATAAAATATTATAACTCCATTTTAGGCATTTTGTGAATATACTTTTTTTTTGTAGGCATGCCAAGGTCTAAAATATTCGATCAGGTAGAAATTGTTTTTAAAAATCCTTTCCTATCCACGAACAGTTGGAGAAGTCATGACCAACAGAGGGCGCTACTCGCTATTGCAGCTTCGAGTCGCGTTATTATGCGTCTTCTTCTACTTTTACGTGCTCGCTCTAGTTTTGTCA